GTGCTTGACTGGGATTCTTTAAGTTAGACCTAGATTTGTTTTTAAAAGCAGAAAGGGGTTATCAATGAGACAATAGCTCTGGGGCTGGATCCCACAGTAGAATGGACAGGAAATGTCTGCTTCTATGGAAGATGAGAGAATTCTCCTGGTCACATGTAGGTAGCTCTGGAACCTTCTCCCTCCCCTAGTCTTGCTGGGCCCACTCCTGATGGGCAGGCTGGCTGGTGTCGTGGGATGGCATCCTGCAGCCTGGGTGCTAATCTAGGCTTTGGCATGGGTGTGGACTCTCTGCCAGCTAAGTCTTGTCACCCTCATGGCTTGCGTTCCTCATCTGTCAATCAAGGCTGAGACCCAGCCCCTAATCTTTGCCTTTGCTCCCGGGCATCTTGTGGGGTAAGTTGGCAGTTTTTCCCTCTCTGTCCTCAAAGGAAGCTTTTGTGTGTGTGTGAGTGTGTGTGTGTGTGTGTGTGTGTGTGTGTGTGAGGCAGGACTTCAAACCCTTGGCTGCTGTGTCTGGGTCAAGTGTTTTCTACAGATATAGACCAAGGTCAGTTGTGTCCCCAACCACTACACTCCCCCACCTCCCCAATCCTTCATCCTGCCCAGTAGCCTCTCCTTGTGTCCTATGTGGTTCTACTCCATCAAGCCCTGGCCACCTTCTGCTATTTCTCTGTCACTTGTGCACTGGCTTTTGCCAACCTAGCCTTGAGTGCATCCTAAATGCACACATCTTGCTTCAACTTCATGAACGGTATCCTTCCTTGCCATTTCTCCAGTTGGGATCCTTTCTCTTCTTCCATTGCAGCGCCCAGGTCACCTCCAGCCTCTGGGCCATTTATTCCAGACTCTACCCGAGCATCCGCTCCCCACACAGTCCCTCACTCTGCCATTGTCTTCAAGAAATGATGACACTGATTTCTGAAGGTGGCAAATAAGCCAGAAGGCTCAACCCGAAGGGTCTAGAACCCCCACATACTGAAGACTAGAAAATGAGGCTTCTGATGTAGTCAATAGCAGATGAGAAAGTCTAGTTTTCTGCGCAAAACTTAAAGTGGTAGCCAGTCCAAGGATTGTGGTTCAAAGCCAGCCCAAGCAGAAAAGTCCCTGGGAGGCTCTTATCTCTAATTAGTTACAGAAAAGCTGGAAGAGGTGCTGTAGCTCAGTTGATAGAGTGCTAGCCTTGGGCAAAAGTGCTCAGAAACAGTGCCAAGGTCCAGAATTCAAGCCCCATGACTGATTAAAAAAAAACCCAAAAACCTCAAGGTGGAGACAAGGTTAAGCCCTACAGGACACACAATGACAGATGAGTCTTTTTAGAGGACAAGGTTGTGGTAAATCAGATACTTTCTAGAAGTCACATTGTGTACCTGCTCATTCCATCCTTCTATCCCATGGAAAATTGTCCTCTTCCACACAGCTCTCTGGAGACTGAGACAGGGCCTAATCCAGGATGTGACACCATCTAGATTTGTTGAACACAGCCAAGTCTTTTTTTTTAAGAGATGGCATTTGGGTACAGATGGCTCATGGCTGTAATCCTAGCTACTCAGGAGTCAGATACCTGAGGATCATGGTTCAAAGCTGGCAGGGGGCAGGAAAGCTTGTGACAGACTCATGTACAATTAACCACCGAAAATCCAGAAGTGGAGCTGTGTCTCAGTGAATAGATAGCCAGACTTGAGTGAAAAAAACTAAGTGACAGTACTCAGGTTCTAAGTTCAATCTCCAGTACTGGTACTCCCTTCCCCGACAAAAGAGATGACAACACTATTTTAATCAAATACAGGCTGATTCTTGTCCTCCAAACGCAAGGATGCCATGCCAGGGATCCACTGCAGGCCTCACCTTTAACTCACAATGTTCTGAGCTCACAATTCCTAACTCCAAGATTATTTTCGGTCCCTGGATCAAAATCACCTAATAAAGGTGAGTGATTTCAAGTACTATACCTGCAATTCCAGCCTCTACCACCAGGTGGCAGTACAACAAAACCTTAACAAATCTCTGAGTTGAAGGTAATGAAAATACACCCTAAATTAAAACAAGATACAGACATATATATATATATATATATATATATATATATAAAAACTTATCATATTTAAAGAAATGAAAAGTATAATAATACCCACAATAGGCCAGAGTTTGGAGAAACATGCACTGTTGGTGGGAATGTAAATTAGCACAGCCTCCGGGAGGGAAATTGGCAGGACACATCAAAAGTCTAAAACATATGCTATCCCTTTGGTGCAGCAATTCCACTTCTAGACATTTATTCTGCAGAGATAATCATGGAAATAAGCCTGCATTGATTCCCAGGATGGGCACGGATGAAAAATTGTCAGTCCAAATAATATAACTTGGAGTTCGTATACAGCTGATTGTATGGGTACGTAAGTCAATGCATATTATGGAAGTCCTGATGTGGAATTGTTTTGTGATATGTCATGTAAAAGTGCTGAGCTGCTAACCTCCATAGGAACAGTAATGGGGGTGCTCTACCTGTGGCCAGCAGGAGTAGGGCTGCTACTTTTTCTGTTTCTGTGCTTTTCTCTATTTTCACAATGTTTTACAGTTGACGTGCATATATTGTGACCAGAAGAGGGCTGCTCAGGTGCTCGTGGTTGGCGGGAGAATCCAGAAAACACAACATTCAGGGTTCCCCCGGCTCTTCTCTCTACTCTGTATTTTCTCCTCCTTCCTTTTGGGAAGTAGCCCCAATCCTCCCGAGCTTGCTGCTGAAATTTACTAAGCCACAAACCAAAACACCAACTCCCAACCTAAAACCTGAACAAAATGTTTTCCTAAAATTGATCATTCTCATTCTCAAAGTTGTTTTCCTTTCCAAAATCTATAAATACATATTAAATAGATTAGAATTTCTTATCCTTTCCTGCTTTCCAGTTTGTGTGTGTGTGTGTGTGTGTGTGTGTGCCAGTCCTGGGGCTTGAACTCAGGGCCTGGGCACTATCTCTGAGCATTTGTGCTCAAGGCTAGTGCTCTATCACTTGAGCCACAGCTCCACTTCTGTCTTTTTGCTGGTTAATTGGACATAAGAATCTTGCAGGCTTTCCGGCCCAGGCTGGCTTTGAATTGTGATTCTTAGATCTCAGCCTTTTGAGTAGATGGGATTACAGACATGAGCTACCAGAACCAGGAAAGCTCTTATTAAAAAAAAAATTATTTTGGGGCTGGGAAGGTGGCTCAGTGGTAGAGTGCTTGCCTTGCATGCATGAGGCCCTGGGTTCGATTCCTCAGCACCACATAAGCAAAAAGAAAGAAAAGCCGGAAGTGGTGCTGTGGCTCAAGTGGTAGAGCGCTAGCCTTGAGCTGAAGAGCTGAGGGACAGCGCCAGGCCCAGAGTTCAGGCCCGACAACCGGACCAAAAAAAAATTATTATTTTGGCTGGGCATCAGTGGCTCATGCTTGTAATCCTAGCTACTCAGGAGGCTGAGATCTGAAGATCACGGTTCAAAGCCAGCCTGGGCAGGAAAGTCTGTGAGACTCTTATTTCCAGTTAACCACTAGAAAACTGGAAGTGGTGCTGTGGTTCAAGAGGTAGAGTGCTAGCCTCGAGCTGAAGAGCTCAGAGGGACAGTGGCCAGGCCCAGAGTTCAAGCCCCATGACTGAAAAAAAATATTATTTTGAGATGAGGCTCTATAGTTCAGTGGTGAAGGACTTGCCTAGCATGTGTGGAATTCTGGGTTTCATTCCTAACACCATAAAAGTCCACTTTTTCTTATTTTTTAAACTTCTGGGTAGTTCTTTCTCCTTAACAGAACAATTTCCATAAACAGTCAACATCCTTTTGAATGTCCAGAGCTAGAGAAGCCACTGGGTCAGTGGCTTACTTTTACCATTCTTGCAGGGTGAAGGAAGATCATGGCTACCTTTTTCATTTCTTCCTTTTTTTTTTCTTTTTCTCTTTGGTGTAGATACTGGGGCTTGAATTGAGGGCCTTACACTCTCACTTAACTTTTTGGCTCAAGGCTGGTGCTCTGCCACTTGAACCACAGCCTCAGGTAAGAGTCTCACAGACTCTTTTTGTCTGGGTTTGGCTTTGAACCTTGATCCTCAGATCTCAGCCTCCTGAGTAGCTAGGATTACAGGTGTGAGCCACTGGCACCTGGCTTTTGTACTTCATCTGATTTCACCTAGAATCAGACATTTCTGGTCTGAGAGAAAGGCTGCCTGCTGCTGGGTTTCATGCAGGGTTGCTCTCAGCAGGAGATTCATGGAGACTGGTGCGTGCCCCAAGTTTCCACAAAGTCTTGGAAGGCTGGGTTTGTGACCCACTCTGTGTCTTAGCTGTCACCCTCTCTGTCTCTTTTAGTCCCAGTTCCAATGCTGTGCTGGAAGCCTTCAGTACCTCATCAGTACTGCGAGGCTCAGAGAGGGTAAGTCACCCCACTACGAGACCACAGGATAATATCCCTCATGTGATGGTCCTGCCACTCTCCCTTCTGCTGGCCTCACCCCTGCTCTTAGGACCGCTAGGTATTACTGTGATGGTCCTTAACTCTGCAGGACTCGGTGGTGGCAGGGTCCCTTTCCTTCTTGCCTTCGATACGATACATGTCCTGAGGGTGCACATGTATTCCACGCGGAAGCTGAATTCTGGCAACACGATAGAACACCTTCAAGGGGTAAGAACACACTGGAACCAGCCAGAGTCCAGGTCCTGATGATGCAGCGGGTGGGGGTAGGAAAGAGCGCATGAACCAGGATGTACCCAACAGTCAGAGGCTTATGCACTAGGCTGGAAGAAGAGAGACGCTTTCTAGAAGCTTCTTTGCTTTGCCTACAGAGCAGCCCTGGGCATCTGCAGGATGAATGGAGCTTATGCTATTTCCTTTCACAGAGAGGAGCTACTTCTGATGAGGGGGGGGGTGCGGAGGATCGGATCGATAGTTCAGTCACGGAGGTTCAGAGGCAAAGAATATCAGCTTAAGAAGACAAGACAAAGTAGAGCAAAAAATAAAAATAAATGACAAATTACCGGGTAGCCATCTCGTCCCGATTGCCCCTGTGGTAATTAATAGGTCATTAATAATCAAGCCTTCAACAGAGAACCATATGGTAACACTTAGACCTTGGTCGGGGCCTGCACCCCTGTACCCACCCACCCCCACCATGCCCTGCGTGGTTGTGTGATGGATCCAGGGCTGAGGGCCTTCATCAGGGCCACCAGGTCATATACTGCGGGTCACCGGAAGGCTTTTGGGGGGGGCATATAGCAGGAGGTAAAAATGCTGCTTAAAAATAGGGGGCTGGAGAAGGTACTGGATCCTCCTACCTGGCTCCCCTGGGTTGGGGAGACCTGGGAAAGTGCACCTGGAAGACAGAGGGATGGAGACATCCATTGCTTCTGGCGGCTTGTCTATCTCCACACCCAGGCCAGGCCTGCTAGGCCCAGTGATGGCCTTTGCCAGCATCCTGTTATACATGGATCGACCTCCCCCCTCCATGTCCTTGCTAGTGCAACTGGGGAGTTTCTAAACTGTACCCATTGATCTATTATTATTATTTTGTGCTAGCATTGGAGCCTGAACTCAGAGCCTGGTCCCTGTCCCTGAGCTTTTTTTCCACTCAAAGCTAGCACTCCACCACTTGAGCCACACCTCCACTTCTAACATTTTGGTGGTTAATTGGAGGTAAGCGTCTCCCAGCTTTTCCTATCTGGGCTAGATTTGAACTACAGTCCTCAGGTCTCAACCTCCGGAATCACTAGGATTATCGGTGGCTCATGCCACAGGTGCCTGGCTCTATTTAACAGTTAAACAAGTTAGGAAAAATAAAAATCACTGCCCTGCTCTCTGAGCTGTCCTGGCTTGGTAGAATGGTTAGGAATGACTCTGCCAAGAAATACTGCTGTGGCTGATATATCTCCTTGTTTTAGTTGGCTTGATTTTTTTTTTTTTTTTTGGCTCAAAGTCAGGCTACATGCCCAGAATCTAAAGAGTGTTGATCGGGAAATGAATCATGGTGAATGGAATGGAAGTCAGAAAACAACCAATAAAACCTCACAGCTCATCTGCAAAGAATGCCTTTGGAAGGTGCCTTTTGGCTCAAGTTGAGTTGTCAATGTATTTCTTGAATGGATTCATCGGGATTTATTGGGGCTCTGAAAAACTGCCAAGAAGAATCAAAGGCAGACAGACCCATCCTGTGCCCTGGAGAACACAGATTCCCTAGGCCCTGGGATCCCCTGCATTTGAAGCTGTCCATGGCTAGTCAGGGAAGTTCAAGGGAGTTCTCTAACTCCTTCTCCGCCCCCCCCCCTTGGCTTTTTTTTTTTTTTTTTTCAGTTGTGGGGCTTGAACTCAGGGCTAGGCCTGGGCGCTGTCCCTGAGCCTTTCTGCTCAAGGTTAGTGTTTTACCACTTTGAGCCACAGCTCTACTTCCAGTTTTCTGGTGATTAGTTGGAAATAAGTCTCAGGGATGTTTCTGACTGGGCTGGCTATGAAGGGTCATCCTCAGATCTCAGCCTCCTGAGTAGCTAGGATTACAAGTGTGAGTCACTGGCCCCCAGCTCCTAACTCTCTTCTTAATGCAGTGACATTTTCCTTCAGGTGGTATCTGAACAACTCCACTAGCCAACTAGGTTCAAGAGGCTCCAGGAGTGAAATATCTTGACAGAGAAGGAAATGGAACTGCAGGATCTAGTGCTCAAGCTTAATTTACTCTGGGAACCCCCCTGCCTGACGCCACAGTCTTTTCTGCCAATGCCTATGAGAGAAAAAAGCATTTAAAAATATCAATGGCTACAGAGAATTTCCAAAATATGGGCTGATGCTGGGGTTTCTAGAGAGCTTCAGTTGAGCCAAAGAGGAATGCAGCCAGGCTTGTGCCAGCTCTTTTGAAAGGAATTGGTCCAGGATGTTTTAGTGAACAAGTCAAGCCTGGGGAAATTCTATGCTTGCACTCATCTACCAATTAAAAATAATACAACCCTGTCTGGGGTGCATTTTAGTTTTTGTTTTTTTTTTTGGTAACAGTACTGGGGCTTGAACTCAGGGGCTTAGGGTCTTAGCTTTTTTTTTGCTCAAGGCTGGTGCTCTACCACTTGAGCCACATTCCCACTTCTGGCTTTTTTTTGCTGATTACTCAAAGAATTTCCCAGACTTTTCTGCCCTAGCTGGCTTCATTCAAATGGTGATCTTCAGATCTCAACCTCCTGAGTAGCTCGGATTACAGGCGTGAGCCACTAGCACCCTGCATGGGTTAAATTTTTTTTTTTTTTTTATTTAAAAGGCCCACCCATCACAAATTATTTTCATGGGGAGTATTACGGAGAGAAACAAAAAGTCAAGTAAACGTCTTATCTTTCAGGAACAAGACACCAAGTCCAGGATACTTACAGGAGGACCTGTAAAACACAAGCAGAGAGGCCACCATCAGCAATAGAAGGCAGAGAGAATCCCTTTGTCAGTCCGTGGCCACCTCTTCTCATATGGGGTCACAGTTGTTTTCTGAAAATGCCCCCTATGCCGGGCGCTGGTGGCTCACGCCTGTAATCCTAGCTACTCAGGAGGCTGAGATCTGAGGATCGCAGTTCAAAGGAAGCCCAGGCAGGAGAGACCGTGAGACTCCTATCTCCAATAAACCACCAGAAAACCGGAAGTGGCGCTGTAGCTCAAGTGGTAGAGCGCTCGCCTTGAGCTGAAGAGCTGAGGGACAGCGCCCAGGCCCAGAGTTCAAGCCCCACGACCGACCAAAAAAAAAAGAAAAAAGAAAGAAAATGTCCCCTAACCCCGCAAACAAGTGCAAGCTCCAAAGCCTAGTCTGCAGACCAGAAGGGGGCACTTTAGCCCTTGGGCGGGGTGGGGGGGGGTCTGGATGGCCATGTGGTTGGAAATGACAGTCCCCAAATGTACTGCTCTCTGGTTGGTGCTTGCTCTCGCTGGTTCCTGGTGACCTGAGCAAAGAAATCAGACCTTGTACTTGCTTGAGTAACAAGTCGTGGTGTATGGGTCAGCTCATTTCTCCTAGAAAGAGACATAGGGGAACTCCTTTGGCTTTGAACCTCAATCCTCAGTTCTCAGCCTCCCCGAGAGCTGAGATTACAGGTGTGTGCTACTATGACCCTCTATCACATTTACATTGTATTAGGCCTTCTAAGTCCAGAAGGCTCAGGTCATATGTAAACAGGACACCATTTTTACATAAGGGTCTTGAGTATCTGTGAGTTTGGTGTTCATAAGGAGAATCAGTGCCCCGTGGATGCCACAGGATGGCATTCTCCACTAAGACAGGCATGTGCCAAACCACATCACTCATCTGAAAGCTTACTCGGCAGAGTGAGACCACCCTCCACAGGAACTTGGAAAAGGAGTCTTTGTGGGTAGCCAGCTGTGAGCAGGAGTGGAGCACTGAGGGGTAAGAAACAGGACCCAGGAGTGAGTCTGAGAGGGAAGAGAGAGAGACACAGAGCTGGGGGAAGTCCAGAAAACCCCAGGTACAGAACAAGGGGCCCAGGCTGAGTCCTGAGTGGGAAGAAAATGAATGGCCATGGGAAGGGAGCGGAGGCAGAGAGATGGAGGAGGAGTGAGTAGAGCCCGCACAGGGCCAGCTTTTCACATTCTGGTCCGGGTAGGGATGGTTTGACCGCAAAGACAGCAGAGGCCACTGGTGGCTTCTGGGTGGCAGAGGGGCCTGAGGGGGGCCACAGTGAACTGGAGCTGGCCTGCAGGTGTCCTGTGCAGGTGCTGACAGTCGTAACAGAGAGGGGCGAGGGTGGTGATGGGAAGGGACCCATGTCAGAGAGGGGAGACAGCTTCTGATTGGTTGAGCGGCAGGTGGGCTGTTTACAGGAAGGAGAGAGATTGCAAAGATGTCTGATTTGAAAAGTTGATACCCAAGAATAGTGACATGGGGGGGGGCTGCCTTTCCCCTGAGCTCATATGTCAGATAGGGTGTGGGCAGCGTGGATACGCTGTGGTGTCTGTCTTACAAAGAAAGCAAAAGCCAATGGGCAGATGCGCTGTTGCCTGTCATCTGGGAGTGTGGTTGAGTTTCTGAAAGTCGAGGAGAGTTGATTTCCAATAAAGTAGGATGTAGGAGCCCGGCATAATGGCTCACAGGTGTCAAACTAGCTACTCATGAGGCTGAGATCTCAGGGTGGCAGTCTGAAGTGAGCCTGGGCAGAAACATCTGTGAGGTGACTCTACCAGCAAAAATCCGGAAGTGGAACTATGGTTCAAGTGGCAAAGCACTGGCCTTGAGCAAAAAGCCAAGCCAGAGCTCAAGGCCCTGAGTTCAAGTCCCAGTACTGGTACACACGTCAAACAGTAGGATGTGAGGCCTATGAGCCATGATGGAGGGTGTGTGTGGGGCTGGTGAGCGGTGAGTGATGGGTAATTTTTTTTCCGGGGGGGGGGCAGGGTGTGTGTGGGGGGGTTGGCTCAGTCAGGGAGGAGCACTGATGAATGAGATTGAGGGGTGACAGGAGTATTAAGTACGGCAATGTATTTTCAAGCTGGAGGGGGCAAGGGGTAAGGTGGTGGGGGTCTGAGGATTTGGAGTTTCAGGGCTACTCCCATTTCATTGAATGAAGCCCCCCCATATCCTCAGATGGTTCCATTTATCTCCCCAGTCATCTGGCTCTTATTTAATGGTTCCCACATTCCAGCCCTGGGACACATGTTTGAAAGATGTGTGCAGAAGAGCTAGGTGCAAAACACACTAGTGGGGGGGACGTCTGTGTGGCTGGCTGGGGACCCTGAGCAGCCTCCCTTTCTAAGCAGGAATGCCCGGATGGCCTGACCCATATCCCCTTCTTCTATTTCCAAACTGGGAGCTGAGCCCACTGGCACCTCAAGGGAAGGAGATGGGGGTGGAGCTGCGTGCTCGAAGCTCACCAATGAGCAGAGGAGGGTGGACCCATCTGAGAGGCCACACCCAGGCCCAGCCCTAGTGTTTGCCCAAAGGAAGCCAGATAGGAAGAGTGGATCTCACAGCCCGGCCTTGGGGCCCAGTTCACAGCTCCATACCTTCAGTCTTGGCCGTGTCTGTCACCTGCTTCACCCGTGGATGGGACAGGCCCTCCGCCCCTCCCACTCAGCAGGTGAAGACCCCACAGCCCAGGCTCCACCCTCCAATCCATCCCTACCACTTGAATCTTCAGTGGTGTGTCTCAGGGCAGACTGGACCAAAGGCTTTGAATCCAAGTTTGCAAGTTGAGCATGACTATACCCCACTATTTTCTGGACTCCACTTCTGGGGACGGGAGAGTCAGTGTTAACTCTCTCAAGGTCCCCTGTTGCTTTAAGATTTTTCTCTTTGATTCTCAGCATTTTACTAAGAATGATCTTTGCATTTATCCTATATGAAGCTTCTTGGATATTATTATTATTATTAATATTATTATTTGTATGTACCATCCTGGGGCTTAAACCCAGGGCCTGGGTGCTATTCCTGAACCTTATTGTTCAAGGCTAGCACTTTACCACCTGAGACACAGCTCTGCTTCTGATTTTCTGGTGGTTAATAGGGACTTTTCTGCCCAGGCTGGCTTTGAACCTTGATCCTCAGATCTCAGCTTCAGGAATAGCTAGGATTACAGGCATGAGCCATTGGTGATTGGCTCATTTACATTTCATTGAACTTGTGTTTTCCTATTCATTTTAGGATCAAAATATCAATTTCTTCAAAAAAATCCATCTGAGCTTTAGGAATGGGTTGCATGGAGTATGTAGACCTGTGGAATACTGCCATAATCACGCTGTACTCATCCATGAAAATGAGATGCTCCACTGCTTATGTCTTCATTACATATTTCCAATTTTTATTTTATTTATCAGTGTGGGGCTTGAATTCAGGGCCTGGGAGCTGTCTCTGGTCTCTTTGTGCTCAAGGATAGCTCTCTACTACTTGAGCCACAGAGCCATTTCTGGTTTTTGAATGATTAATTGGAGATAAGAGTCTCAGGGACTTTTCTGTTCAGGCTGGCTTCAAACTGTAATCCTCACATCTCAGTCTCTTGAGTAGCTAGGGTTACAGGTGTAAGCCACCAGCTCCTGGCTTGTTTCATGGTTTTTAGCGTACAAATCTTCCACTTCTCTTGTAAAATTGATTCTAAAGGATTTTATTCTTTTTTTTTTCCTGTCACTCCTGGGGCTTGAACTCAGGGCCGGGGCACTGGGCACTGTCCCTGAGATTCTTTTTTTTTGTCAGTCAGGGGGTCTGAACTCTGGGCCTGGGTGCTGTCCCTCAGCTCTTCAGTTCAAGGACAGCGCGCTACCACTTGAGCTACAGCGCCACTTCCAGCTTTTTCTGTTTATGTGGAAATAGAACCCAGGACTTCATGGGTGCTAGGCAAGAACTTTACCACTAAGCCACTTTCCCAGACCCAAAGCATTTTCCTTTCTTGTTCTTCTTCCTGCTCCTGCTCCTCTTCCTTCTTCATATTTTTCTTTTTGGCCATCCTGGGGCTTGAACTCAGGACCTGGGCATTGTCTCTGAGCTTCTTTTGCTCAAGGCTAGCACTCTACCACCTGAGCCACTGTACCACTTCCGGCTTTTTCTGTGTCTGTGGTACTGAGGAATCGAACCCAGGGCCTCATGCATACTAGGCAAGCACTCTACCACTGAGCCACCTTCCCAGCCCTTCTTCATTTTTTTTTTTTTTTGGGTCCAGTCGTGGGGCCTGAACTCTGGGCCTGGGCGCTGTCCCTCAGCTCTTCAACTCAAGGCTGGCGCTCTACCACTTGAGCCACAGCACCACTTCCGGCTTTTTTCTTTTTGCTTATGTGGTGCTGAGGAATCGAACCCAGGGCCTCAGGCATGCAAGGCAAGCGCTCTACCACTGAGCCACCTTCCCAGCCCCCCTTCTTCATATTTTTTGCAAGTAGAACTATTTTCCTTATTTTATTTTTGGTTTTCTTAAAAAAATCAAACCCATTGCATTTGAATTCTTTTTAGAATTCATTTTGGTGCTGGACCTGGGGCTTGAACTCATGGCCGGGGCTCTGTCCCTTCACTTTTCTGCTCAAGGCTTGTGCTTATGCTCTATCACTTGAGCCACAGCTCCACTTCCAGTTTTCTGGTGGTTCATTGGAGATAAGAGTCTCATGGACTTTCTACCCAGGCTGGCTTGAAATCACAATCTCCAGCTCTCAGCCTCCTGGGTAGCTGAGATTACAGGTGTGAGCCACTGGTACCCAGCTGAGATCAACTTTATGTTCTGCCTGTGTCCTTGGCTTGTATGAATGAATATCACTATCTCTGGTTCCAGCATGTTGTCCCAGATGATAAACTTTCATTATTATTATTATTATTATTTTTGAAGTACTGTGGTTTGAACTCAGGACCTCATGCTTGCTAGGTAGCCACTTGAGCTGCACTCCAGGACCTTGATTCCTCCCCCGCCACTCCACAGTCTTATGTTTTTGCCTAGGGCATCCTGGATCATTGTCTCCTACCTAAGCCTTCTGTGTAGCTGGGAACACAGGTGTGTGCTGCCACACCTAGCTTACTGATTGAGCTGGGGTCTTGATCACTTTTTGCCTGGGCCTCTCATTGTAAACCACTGGCCTCATTCTCTCAAGTGCTGAAATTAAAAGCATGCACTACCATGCTTGGCTCCTGTCTTATTGTGCTGTTCCTGGTGCTTGAACTAGGGCCTGAGCATTTGTCTCTGAGCTTTATTTTTGTTCCAAGCTTTTATTTTGTTCTGAGCTTTTATTTTGTTCAAGTTACACCTTCATTTTTGGTGGTTAATTGAAGAATCTCACAGACTTTCCTGCCCAGGCTGGCTTCGAACAGTGCAGATCTCAACCTCCTGAGTAGCTAGGATTACAGGCGTGAGCCACTGGCACCTGGCTTGCTTTTTTTTTTTTTTATGTCTATTTAGGTCTATTTTTCTAGTGAGTTTTCAAGTAGTCTATTTATATCATGCTTTGCCTTTGAAAACAGGAGTATGCATTCCTCAACTCATTCCAAAAAAGAGGTCAGCAAGTGTACAGTAAAAGGCAAGGAAATTTTTTTTTTTACCAGGATAGAGAATAAGAACTGATGGATGATGACCCAGGTATATGGAGAGGTGAGGGCAGGGGGATCCACAGTCATCTACACGAAAGGGAACTCTAGCAGCTCAGCCAGACAGCCTTCAGCTTCTGGAAGTCTGCACGATCGAGGGACATAAAGCCTGGGTAGTTTCTCAGAGAGCTGCTGTGTGAGGAACATGCACTGTACTGCACAGGGAGCTGGCAGCCCAGCCCCTGGAACGGACCCACGCTTCCCAGTCGAGCCAAAGAACTCAGTAAATCTGGGACTCACCAGGATCGCCTCTTCTTCCAGGCTTCCCGCGCCGTCCAGGGACGCCTAGACAGGGAAAACAAGATGGACTGGTTGAGAAGTGGAGTAGGGGCTTGGGCACAGCCCACCGATCCGTACCTGCTTGCCCGAGGCTGCCCCCTGCTGGTGGAGGGGAGATGAGGACCTCAGACTTTGCAGGTCTCCTCCCTGTCTTTCACCCTCCCCCATTGTGTTTGTTAGGAGACATCTGTTTGCATATTCATCCCCAAACCTCCCCCCTTCTCTCCCCCCCTCCCCGCCCCATTTACTCCTGGGTACATTATTTTTTGGGGTGGGATTTGAATTCAAGGCCTTGCTGAGCAAACACTACTGCTTGGTCCTTGCCTCCAACCCTTTGGGTTTTAGTTTGGTTTTTGAGATAGGGTCTTACTCTTTCGCGTGGGCTAGGCTTGGAGTGTGTGTGATCTTCCTATTTCCACCTGCTGAGTAGCTGGGATTATAGGCCTGTGCCACCATGCTTGGCTTACAACAGGGACATTGTTGACTCAGAAGAGTTCGAAGCAGAGAAAGTTACAGACACAGCAAAGTTTGATGCAGACACTATGGTGTCTTAAATGCTTTCAACTGGGCAATGTGTACCATGCCACGTACCATCTACCATCCTCCACTGCTGGCTGGAACCGTCAGTTCCTCTTTCCCATTGTCCCTGGAAGCTGCTTTATTGTCAACTAGGGGCACACACACTGGTGCCTTCTCTGACATTTCAGCTACACGTTTTATGCCTTTCTGAATGCATGACGTTCATCCTGTCACCTCTGCCGCTAGCCTGGCACCAGGGTCTGTCCCGAGACGCACGTGTTCTGGATGCTGAAGGAGGAGACACTGTGCATCATAGAATCCTGGCTAGGCTTCTGCTCCAGGTGTGGAGGTCTGAGGCCTCTGCCAGCACACCCTTTCATCCTGGCATCCACAGAGCTTGCTGTGAGCATTTCTCGTGCTCCTTGTCCAGGGCTCTGCCAGCCTGTCCATCCCTCTTTGCCTAACTGTCTCTGGTTCTTCCTGCTCTCCTAGTCATATGTCGTTACCAGATTGAGTTTTGTAAGTGACATGTTCTACCTATCCACCTTGCCCGCCACAGCAGGCCAGGCTCTGGTCTGGGCCTGTGGGCACAGAGGGACAGCTTGTGACTGCCTTTGCTCAGAGCCCCTCAGGAACCCCCAAACAACCACAGAGGAGATGCAGGAGATTGGCCATGAATGAGAGTGGGCTGGGTTGACCATGGGAAAGCCTCCTTTGCATTTTCTTTCCTCCCTCCCTCCCTCTCTCTTCTTCCTTCCTTCCTTCCTCCCTCCTTCCTTGCTTTCCTTTAGTTCTTCCTTCCTTTTTCTCTCTCTTCTCTTTCTATTCTTTCCTCCTTTCTTTTTCTCTTTTGTGTTGGTATTGGGACTTAAACTCAGGTCCTGGGGTTTGAACTCAGGGCCTGGGTGCTGTCCCTTAGCTTTTTTCTTTTCCTCTGGGTGCTGTCCCTCAGCTCTTCAGCTCAAGGCTAGCACTCTACCACTTGAGTCATAGTGACACTTCTATTTTTTCTGCTTATATGGTGCTGAGGAATCGAACCCAGGGCCTCATGCATGCAAGGCAAGCACTCTACCACTGAGCCACCTTCCCAGCCCTCCCTTAGCTTTTTTGTTCAAGGATCTACCACTTAAGCCACAGCTCCACTTTGGGTTTTTTTTTTGCTGATGAATCAAAGATAAGAGTCATGGACTTTCCTTTCCCAGGTTGGCTTTGAATATAATCTTCAGATCTCAGCCTCCCAAGTAGCAAGGATTATAGGTGAGAGCCGCTGGTGCCCAACTTTCTTCCTGTTGTTGAGTGAGAGGCTAGGCCCCCTGGATGTGGAAACAGGAGCCCCATCAATATCATGCAACCCTGCATCCCCAACTCACCCCAGTCCCCAGTAATATCTAGTCTGCTCTCTATGAATCTGTTCTTTCTGACTGACTTATATCTCCGACGGGCTTATATCCCTGACTCTAATGTCTTCAGGGTTCATCTCTATTGTAGCAGGCATCAGAATTTCATCCCCTTTTCCATGACTGAATAATATTCTGCTGCATGGATGTGATGCCCTTTGGTTGCCCATTTGTCTGGTGGCACAAACCCCAGTGCAGTGTAGGGCTGGTTGGGGATGGGCCGACAACTGGGTGAACTGTGCCCCCAGTGGGACACGTGAGCAGGCCCTCCAGAGGACACGGTAAAAGCTTTGCCATGCTACCGTCTCTATCTGCAAGATCCTAGAAGCTGGCCTCTTCCAGTGGGAGGTGACTGGGCAGGGGTTTGCAGGATGGCTGCGCAGGGTGGAGGATGTAGGGGGGCGGGATCTAGGGCAGCTAGGAGGGGTGTCTGCAACCAGGATTGTGGCTTGTCTAGCTGGGAGGGGTTTCAGGGTCCTGTAAGCCCAACTTGGTCCTCACCAGGTCTGGCGTTCTGGAGGCTAGCGCCCTCTAGGGCCTGTCTGGTGTTTGCTCACTGGTGGATGCTCAGAGAACCTCCAACGGTCCTGAGATTTTGTCCTAACTTGGCACATAGATTCCCAGCCTGATGCGAGACCTACAGTGCTCTTGCTCCAGGGCGATGCTGGGGCCAGCTTCCACTGACTCAGAGCCCAGGGAGACACAATCAGACCCCCTTCCCTTCCCTCCCTAGGTCCCGTGCTGAACCCCCTTAGAGATGTCTGGTTCTGCACATGGTATAAGCTCAGGCTTCTTAACGGGGAGGTGTCGCTGATACTTTGGGGGTTCTACTCCAGAGCTCTCTGGACATCTTCAGAGGGGGTGCTGGGATGCTACTAGTAGTCAGGAATATGGCTGCATGATGGCTCTGTCCTGTGCTGTGCACTGTGCTGAGACTTTCCTGCTGTCGAGATCTCTGATCTACTCATTGTCCTGTCATGGAGGTCACAGGAACCCTGACACAGGGGGAAAGCCCAGTCTCAAGGGACACAGCTGGCGGGTGGCAGGGCTGGGATTCAAGCCCAGCTGCATCCGATTCTGAAGCACTTGCTGCTAATCTTTTAGAGAAAATGCTATGGGAGGGGAGGGGGTGGTTGCCTGGGGCCCTTCGTTCTACTCAGCAGGTCCAGATCACCAGACATCCCCACACACACACACACAGACACACACACACACACACACACACACACACACACACACACACACACACACTTCTTTCCCCTTCCTGGCCTGTGCAGCTCTGGGCTGGGAAACACACTGAAAATCCCTTCCCCCCTTCTCCTTCCCTTCCCTTTCATTCCCTTCTCCCTTCCTGTTCATTCCCTTCCTTTTCTTCCCTCCCTCCTTCCCTCCCTTCCTTCCTTCCTTCCTTCCTTCCTTCCTTCCTTCCTTCCTTCTGTCCTTCCTTCCCTTCTCTTCTCCTTCTCTCCCTTTCTTCTTCCATTTCTCCCTCCCTCCCTCCTTCCCTTTTCTTTTTCTTTTTGTAAGTTATGGGGCCTGAACTCTGGGCCTGGGTGCTGTCCCTCAGCTCTTCAGCTCAAGGCTAGCACTCTACTACTTGAGCCACGGCACCACTTCTGGCTTTTTCTGCTTATGTAGTGCTGAGGAATCGAACCCAGGGCCTCATGCATGCAAGGCAAGCACTTTACCATTGAGCCACCTTCCCAGCCCCCTCCTTCCCTTTTCAAATACTATTTTCTTTCTTACAAACTATTTTGAGTTCATGATATCACGGTGCCACATTGCCTTGTGTGTGCTTAGGGAGGCTGGAGTCTGGGCTGTGCATTTATAAGCCCCAGGGACACTGGCTCCTAGTTCTTGGTAGTACTAGGGTTTGAACTCAGGGTCTCATTTTGCTGTGCAGAAACTCTATGACTTCAACTAGTTCACCAGCCATTTTTGTTGTGCTGATTGTTTTCTAAATAGGGTCTTCATTTATGCCCAGGTTAGCCTGGACTGTGATCTTCTTATTTATACTTCCCTTTGTTGCTAGGGTGACAGGTGTGAACCACAGAATCCTGTTATTGGTTGACATGGAATTTTGCAAATTTTTATGCCTAGGCCGACCTTGAATTGTGATCTCCTGATCTTTGCTTCCAAAGTAGCTGGGATTACAGGCTTGAGCCACCATGCCTGGCCAGCCCCATGTTCTTAAGTTGTCCACATTTATTTTGCCTCCTGCAGCTGCAGCAGGGTGTGCCTGGTGAGCATGTCTCCTCATGTCCATTACTCCTTGCAGAAGCCTAGATATCACCAGCTTTTTCTACCAAGGAGGACAGCATGGCTCCCAGCCTAGGATCCTGTCTGAGAGGATCTGATTCTCTGTCCTGCTTTGAGACTGGCCGAATGGGTGGGGGGGGGGCAGAGCCCCTCAACAAGGTAGTGGCCTAAAGTTCTCACCTCGCTCCTATTTCTTCTACCCAATCTCGTTGTGAACAACTTCACCACTTAATACTCCAGGTGGGGGGAACTTGGGTGGATGTGTTACAGCCACGATCACTGACCACCTCCAAATGCAAACTGTCCCTTGTCTAACCCGGACCCTGGCTAGCATCTGATTTGTGTGACCCGTGGCCTGCAGTAACCCCTGGCATGGCACAGCCACTATCATTGTTCTTGTTTTTGCAGATGGAGAATGGTGGCAACAAGGGAATAACTAACACGCTCCAACACGCTCCAAAAGTAACTAGCCTCCAAAAATGGCCACCAGACCTTGTTGGCCTCTGTCCATCCCCATCAGGCCCAGTACCGGCTTATCTCCATGGCAGCCTTGGTTCTGGCTCCTTTTTTCCCCTGTTGGTCATGAGGCTTGAACTCAGGGCCTGGGAGCTGTCCCTGAGCTCTCTTGGCTCAAGGCTAACATTCTACCACTTTGAGCCACAGCTCCACTTCTGGTTTTCTGGTGGTTAATTGGCCATAAGAGTTTCATGTAGCCTGGTGCCAGTGGCTCATGTCAGTAATCCTTGGCTACTCAGGAGGCAGAGATCTGAGGATTGCGGTTCAAAGCCAGCTCAGGCAGGAAAGTCAGTGAGACTCTTATCTCCAATTAAT